CAGGCTGATTATGGGAAGTTAAAGTAGTTTGTTTTTTCTTGTTCCAACACTCTAGGAAACTATGGTCCAGGAGGCAGTGGAGGAAGTGGGGGTTATGGTGGGAGGAGCCGATATTGAGCTTCTTCCTACTTGCCATGGGTAAGTAGCTTTTTGAGTTTTACAATTATTATTATTTTGGGAGACATAGCTGCAGGAGTAAAAGCTTTTTAGGATCATGTTAATCTTTCCTTAAAATCTGGTTAGATGGATAATTTCATAACCTATTTTTTTTTTTACTCTTTACTTCTGTTGAAACAGGCTTCACTGTATAAATAGGAGAGGATGAGAGCCCAGAGGTAACAGAACAGCTTCAGGTTATCGAAATAACAATGTTAAGGAAACTCTTATCTCAGTCATGCATAAATATGCAGTGATATGGCAGAAGACACCAGAGCAGATGCAGAGAGCCATTTTGTGAATGGATTGGATTATTTAATAACATTACCTTACTGTGGAGGAAGGATTGTAAAAAAAAAAAAAAAAAAGAAAAAGAAAAAAAGAAAAGAAAAAAATGCCTTTGAGACAGTTTCTTAGCTTTTTAATTGTTGTTTCTTTCTAGTGGTCTTTGTAAGAGTGTAGAAGCATTCCTTCTTTGATAATGTTAAATTTGTAAGTTTCAGGTGACATGTGAAACCTTTTTTAAGATTTTTCTCAAAGTTTTGAAAAGCTATTAGCCAGGATCATGGTGTAATAAGACATAACGTTTTTCCTTTAAAAAATTTAAGTGCGTGTGTAGAGTTAAGAAGCTGTTGTACATTTATGATTTAATAAAATAATTCTAAAGGAAATTGTGTAATTATAGACTTTTTATTTTAAATAAGTTAAGGAGTGGGTAGTATAATTAAGGTCTATTGCAAAGCTGTTGTTATGTTTGTTGTAAGATAAATGCTGGTCAGATATAAGTGTGTTGTCTGCAATTCATCAGGATTAAATTATCTAGATAACTTAAGGGATATCTCTGCAAGGAGAAACACCTTTTTAGATCTTTTAGATGCTGCTTCTTCAATGCAAGGAAAGGAAATAACCCCAGCGAGGTACTCTTCAGGGACACAGGTCTAGTACAAGAGAACTCTTGACGGCTACTAAGTTCAGCCAGTCTTAAAAAACTGTGCTGTTTCTACAAAGCTTTAACTACAGTAGTTTATAAGGATGCCAACGAAAGCTGAGGGTGTAGAGCAAAGTAGTTCTAAGCTTCAGTTAAACTTCTTTAGGTAAGATCTTATTTACTTTTCCTTTCTTAATTTTCCTCCCTAAAAGATAAACTAATACTCTTCAATGATCTTTCAGTATAGTGGTTCTTATTGTAGTTTAACATAGCTATAAATTGAGTTTAATCATTTATAAACTCAAGAGAATAATTTTATAAACCCTGTTTTCCAATCTGTCATTTACTTTAATTATTTTGGTTGTTTTTCCTTTTTTTTCCTTCTTTCCCTCCCCCTCCCCTGTCATGAAGATTCAGGTGCTTAACTTATCATTTTTTTCCCTGCTGGAATTTTAGCATTGATATGAACCATGGACAAGTATATTCTGCTGCCACAAAGACTGTAAAGTGCTTCATTTCAACAGCTGAGGCAAGCCAAGTGATCATTAATAAAGCTTTTCTTGGTTCCTTCAGTGGTGTTGGTAGTAAAATGGTAGGTAAAAGTTAGGCTGCAACCTCAATAAATCATGAGATTTCCCACCGTTACACCCTTGTGTATTCACATTTCTTGGATCAAGCATTTTGAGTGAACCTAGGGATTCTTATTAAAGACATTTTGTTGTATTTATGGTTCTAGCTTTACATGCTTATCAGGATGAGGCTAAAAGAAAAGGCAGGGCAAAATGGTTGAATATTTTCAGATTATAGTTTATACGTATAATGTAGAAGACACTACTCTTAAGTCTTATATGTATCCAGTATTAAATAAATGGGTTTAAATGTGGTAGTTCTTGCCGAATGTCCTACCCTACAGAGATATGTAGGTTGTCTGCTGAAATTCATTTCTTAAACTAAATATCAGTGTTTAATTGCCTGGCTTTATTGCCTTTTCAGGAATGTGGTATTCAGGGCTTATTCTACTATATGCACCAGTGAGTCTTCTTTGATCTTAAGACCACCACTGAAGTTATTTAGGTTCTTTGGACAAACATGATAAACTTCTTCAGATACTTTTTTTTTCCTTTGGCAGGAAGGTGTCTTGCTGCAGGTAACTAATGAAGAAGTGGTCAACCACAGAGTCTTCAAGAAATAAGAAATTCTGTACCATCTGAAAGTAGTTCTTGTTGGTGCCTTCATTTTAAAAAGCACTCTTAATATGAAAGGGAAATGTTTTTTTGAGAAAAAAACAGACTTCATTTAGTACAGGTTCTTGATATAAAACAACTACAAAATGAGTGTTGTTTGTAAAGCAGTAACATCAAGTCAGCTAGAGAGATAAATGTATCATGTTTTAAATTAGGTTTTGTTAGTAGACAGATTAGAGTTCTATTTTAAATATAAAGTTTATAAAATAAATACTTTTGTATCCAAATACTTGGTGTAATGTTTACACATAAAATGTGTGAATCTTGTTCTATAAACATTTCAGTTGTCTAAAAGGTTGACATCCCCTAAATTTTTAAAGCAATTTCACAAAGCTATATGCATATTTCCATTTATTTTTCAGTATTAATAGACAAATGAGGAAAGCATTGTGGACATTATTGGCTGTCCCTAATAAAAGGCTATGATTTATGCACTGTATATTCAGCGTTTGAATACTGCTACAATTTTCTGGCTTTATCTTGTATGTTTAACATTGCTGGTGGCGTTTTGGAATTATGGATTTTAGCTAGAGTGATCTAAATTAACTGGCTGTGCAGGGTACTTGAGATGTAAAATATGTCATACTAGTTTGTCAAATGTCAGTTAGTTCTATTACATTATACACTTAGTAAACCAGTATCAGTGGTCGTCTTTTTAAAGGGCTAAACTTTGTGGATAAAATTTAATAACATCCCTGGGCAGTTGGCTCAAAAAATTTAACAGGGACTTGGACATTTACCTGAATTGGAAGTCAAAAAAAAAAAATGACAAGGGCAAAGTTAATTGACTTGTTTTAAATAAAATTTCTTTCGGTTTTGATAATATGAAGTATCTTAGCAGGTAAGTGAAGGTAGAAGTGGTTAAAGGTATTATGGAGCTGTTTTCTGTTTGAAAAAGCTGCATCTGTTATCAACTATATACTTGTCAGAATACTTGGCTTCAAGTTTATTAGGAAAATGATTAATTTTGAAGGCTTAAAAAAAAATGGCTCTACAAAGAAGTTGAACTTTGAAGAAGTAATGGTATGATACACAACCTCAAAATACCCAACTCTTAAAACCAACAAGCTCAAGGGAATATCCAAATAACAGGGAACAAATTAGGTAACAGGGCAAAATGAACTAGCTAGTCAAGATGAGGGTTTACTAAAACATACAGTACCTAATGTTGGATTTTCAGGCATTTTTCTTGTGTGGTATTTTGAGTTTTAGGAATTGAAATTTAAGGTAGTTTTGGTATAACCTCAGGCACTGTCCTGAAAAGAAATAATTTTATATAGGGCATTGTTAAATTTTTATTTCTGAAGCCTAACCCTTATTGATTGATGCATAACACATTACGTAAATGTTTAGAGTAACGGTAAACTCTTCAGCATGTGGGTCTCTAATTGGGAGCAGCTTAGCTGTGTGATTCTGGCTCAAGCTCTAAGTGGCAATCAGAAAATTACTGGGGTCGGAGAATTCGCGTGGGAAAGAGCATACTAACATGGCTGAAAAACTTAATGACTGTTATCTTCACCAGAATGAATAACCCAAGAGAAGAAGGAAGAAGCTAAAAAAAATATAGCCAAACTTGAGAAATCACACCATCTTGCATTCTAATTGTCACACAACATGAGAGGGTTCTCACTGGTATGATTACCAAGAGGCTAGATAAATTGGGGACCATCAGTGGAGCTGCTGGCTACCTCTCAGGAGTGCTGATCTTATATTGCTCATTTTTGTGAAACTGGATCTTTATCCTGTGTATGGTTTTTGATAGCCCAGTTTGGCAGATGAGTACAACTTAAGTTGGCCTGAAAATCTAACTCCTACTGGACTCAAGTATTAAATGCTGAGTTAATTTAGGTAGACTTTAGAAGAATCAAGTGTTGCTTTGTTACTGATTAAGTTGGTAGTTCAAAAGTACAGGTATGTTCCTTTGCAGAAGGTAGAAAACAATCAGGACACCTGGAAGTAAATTCTTGGCTTTCCTTATTTTTTAGAAGCAACAGTTCACTTGGAACTTAGGTACTCAGACGGTTGATATGCCTTATACTAACCACTATGTTAATATTATTGCAAGTTAACGTGGGGGGTAGGGGGAAATGGTTGGGGGTAACAAGCCAGTGAAGTGAATGGATTACCTGAGCAAATTTAACTCTTAAGGAGCAGGGGTTGGGGGACACTGACCCAAGCTATTTAAGGTGTGTTTAAGAAAGTCAGAATTCTAACATCCTATTGGAACCAGCCTTAATAGGGACACCAAATACCGAGATTTTAAGCACATACTGTTTGGAGATTGCATATGGTTGCCAATTTGGACTCCCTTGTGCCTCATCTGTTCAACGTGGCATTCTGCCAGAAATGTTAAAGGTTTGTTAGGAAGAGATGTCCAACATAGTAGGTGTGAACTCATTTTTGAACTATTAATGCTTATAAGTAAGGAAGGTCAGAGTACTTGGGATCAGTTCAAAGTGAAGTGGGAGATTTGGGCCAGTCCACTGAATTCAGGAGGGATAAAGGTACATACTAGAAAATGCACTCGAGAGGCCAAGTACAAACAGATGAACTAGATACATGAAGTGTTACATATCTTAACTAATTCTTACCAGTTCCCAATGAGGTTTGACTTTAAGCCCCACACCAAAAGGACGCCTGGGGCACACTATCAGAAGTTAAGGGGAGAGCCATTGAATCTTAGTCATTAGCTTTTAATGTAACCATTACATCTTATTAAATGTTTTGATGGGTTTCTCTTAAGAATTGCTTATCCATGTCTTGCTGAGATGGAAGACCAGTTTAGGTGTATTGTGATCAAAATTACTGAACTATGTAGGTGATGAGGATGGTCTTGGCTAGAGACCATTTGAGTCAACCGTTGGGTATTAGTTTAATTCCTGTAAATAGTTTACACTAAAATCCTGATGTAGGGTTTCTTCCACTGCTAAAATTGAAATATCAGTGATGGTAAGGTAAGCAACTTAGGTTTAGGGTCCTGAATCCCAGTGTGTGTGTGTGGGGGGGGTGGGATCAGAAAACTAGCCCGTGGCATTGTGAAACTGGCTGTTGTAAATCTGATTCATTGGCCTTTGGTCTCAGTGCCCCAAATACCTTGCAAATTTAAACTATAGTTTAAACTTCAGTTACCATGAACATTTTGAATTTCAGCTTCCTCCAACTGCATTTTTTTCCCTTGGTATTTTCAGTTTTCAAAGAATGCTGAATCTGACAAATAGGTAGTCATGTTTGAATATTACACTTACCAGTTTTGAAACCTACAAGTAAATTGGTACTGTAGAAGTTGATATTGTAGATTGAAATGATTATGCTGTATGTACCCTGGAGTTACAATGTAAGTATCAAAAGATTAAGACATTTCAGGTAATTCTTGTACCATCAACAGATGAAACAAATGGTTATTGAACAAAACTGGTTATTGAAGGGCAGTGTTTGCTGGCAAAACCTAGGGCTTGAAAGAAGTGCGTAGCCCAACTTAAAATGGAAAAAATTTTTATTATAAAAATTAACTGTATAAACCGTTTTTGTAACCCAAGATCATATTTTTATGACTTGTGATATTCCACATCGTAAAACAATGATTCCTGTGGCAGAAATACCTGACCACCTTGATCCTGATAATTCAGAAATTAAGCGTTAGACTAAAGGTGCACGTTAAAATCTTGATGTTCCCACTTGATAATCTGGTTGAGGGTCACAGCCATCTTCAAAAAATTCATGTTTACCGTTCCAATAAAACTCATTAAATGGAGTTTTCAAGTACTATTATTTCTAGGATTGATCACTGTAGTTTACTTCCAAACTCACCTTTTTTCCCTTATTGTCCTGTTCTTATTTAATAGTTACCTTTTTGCCCATTTTAAACTTTTAAGCATCTTTCAAGTGGTTCCATAGTTTCTAGTTTCTTTGGTTGCAAAATCGTTCTATTAACTTCCCTGTTTCCCCCCGCCCCCTTCTGGTATGGGCTCATGTTTTGACAGCAAGGTAGGGAATTTGGTGAGATCTCAGTATCTAGGGTGTGGGGCCATCCCTACTGGCTGGCTTTACTACTACTGCCAGGGACCCTATGGGTTTAGTAATTTAAGAAGTTCTGTTTATATGCAGGAATCTTGGTTGGGGAGGCCTGTGGCCTAAACCTGTGACTTTAGGTCTTTTTCCTCAGGCACATTAAGGCCTAACACTCTGATACTTTAAAGCTCTGGAGTTCCTTGGCTTAGAGCTTGACCATTTTTAGTTCTCATCAGTTTGGCATACTATGTTGACCTCAATTTGGCCTGAGTGATCAATTTGTGTAAATTTAAAGTTATCACCATGCTGTCATGTTATTAGATGTTCACCTTTCTTCCTGAATGGATATTTTAAAGGGTTTGAAATAAGGTAAATTTGCTTGGAATTTCGGTGTAAAAGAATAACTTTTTTATAATATAAAATTTGCACAGAAAATTTGTAAGTTAAAAGTTCATGGTATGGTTCGTATTATCTTAATTCTATTTTTCCATGAACTTTCTGAAGTACCCTCATACTTCAGTGCTAAGAAGCCAAATGAAAATGTTAAGGTTACTTTAAATTTTTAGTCGTATAAAAAATACATTTTTAATTAGATCCCCATGTTTTCTTTTTGAAGTGACCATCTTATGAGAAAAGCTGCCAAAGTTACTATAAAGTCACCAGGTTTTCATGTCACCTTATCCTTTGAACAGAACTATTAATGAATCTTGCATATATTGCAGTAGGAGAGTTCCCCACGAGGGTGATCTTGAAGTCCTAAACTGTTCATATAAGCTTCAAAACAGTGATTCAAAGTAGCAGTACTTAAAGATAACAACACTTGAACACAACTCCCAGGTTCCTGAACATTACTGTATCCATACAGTGGAGTCCACCTTCAGTTTCTTCTCTCACTTTTTCTCTTTCCCTTTTGGATTTCTTTGTGTCCTGACATCCCCAGTTCTTTTGGTACAATTAAAACACTTCCATCATGGCTGCAATGAAGAGCATACTGGTTTGGATTGACTGGCCTACCCTGGTCATCTCGTAACCTACTAAAAACATCACGATAAAGGTCATGCAGTTTCTCTTTCATTATGTTAACAGCTTTGTTACATTGGGCTTGCTCTCTTTCAAGGGTTTCCTTCTTTGCTTGCAAGTTACATATATCATCTTCTAGATTCAAAATTATGTCTAATTTGCGTTTACGGCAGTTCTGAGCTGCAACTTTATTTTTCCCTCTTCGTCTGATATCACGGATAAGTGAGACTTGTAAGTCTGTTAGATAGTACCTGCTTAACATGCTGTTGAATGAATCAACAGGCATGTGGACAATTTCATCCACAGAAAAAGGGATATGCAGAGCTTTAGCACGTCGTTCATCACGGCTTAAGTTTCTATCTGTGTCATCGAGGTACCTGCTCCTTATTTTCTGTGATTTTCCAGGCCATGAAAAAGAGTCAGAAGTGGATTCTGGGACAGTTGGCTGTAAGTGATAGGTGTGGTTATGAAGTATGTGTTGAAATGCAAGATCCACATGAAAACCAGAATCATTCCTATGAGCCACATGACAAAGCTCACTGGGTTCTGGGTAGCAGCCTCCTACAGCCCCGTGAAGGTCATGATGGGAGAGAGAATCAAGGTCACTACTATACCCTCTAGCACCTTCTTCATGCATAGAATGAGAAGAATTAGACTTGGTGACAGAAGTGCTATTGTGACTTGAAGTTAACGAAAGGCCAGAATCAGAATCTGGTTCTTCGAAAAGCTGAGAAACTTCCATAGGATCAAAACCTTCAGTAGCCAATGACATAAGGTTTATCTCATCAAATATGTTTACATCAAGGCCATATAATAGGTCTTGGCTTGTTAGATTCCTCATCTGGTGATCAATAGGAAGAAATCCTGTCAAATTAGTTCCAGGAAGGGTTTGCTCAGGATTGGTGGTATCAGAATTTAACTGCACAAATGCCTCTTGTGCCTGTGAAGTCCTTGTTATTTGATCTCTTCTAAATGTATTGTTGGGACACAGCAACATGGCCTCATGAAGATTCACATCGTGACTTATAGCCTGGCTAAAATTTACATTATAGTGTGCTGAAGAATTCATGCCGTCGTTTATACTGCCTGGAAGAGGAATATCTCCCAATGAGATGCCCTGAGAAAGGAAGAAGAAAAAAGACTTTAAATATGCAAAACCCCATTTCAAAAGCAGTTCTATTACCTGATACAACTTTACTTATCTCACTCTTGTCAATTCTATACTAATAGGGATATACTGTTGGCTATGAATAATTTCCTAGTTAAAATACAGGCAGAACAGGGTTGGCTGGTTAAGTCACCCAGTTTAAGCATGGTGCTGATAACACCAAGGTCAAGGGTTTGGATCCCCATACCAGCTAGGAGCCAAAAAAAGAAATACAGGCAATACAGCATGTGATGTGAGCCCAAATCAGAATATGGAGTACTTGGGGAAAATAATTGCTCTTTGAATAGCCTAGGAATTTAGAAAATTTGATTAGGTTAGTATAAAAACTGATGTCATTTTATTAGTTTTAAATTATAATATTGTAATTTACTACTTTATAATAAGTAAACTACTGGCAATTGAAATCCACATTCTGGAGGGTCAGGGATAATAAGCTGTGAAGTCTGTGAAGCGGAAAGGTTGTTTAAAAGACCCCTTAAGCATAATCAACTATAATGAAAATTGCTACCAGAAAAAGCTATGCCTCAAGTTTGCTAAATATTTACTACCATTTTGCATCAATGTAAGTGGTCTAAATTTGATTGTATCTTTGGAATTATTTGGAAGGAGGAATGGCATACATATTTGGCTAATTCTCCAAAGTTAAAGTGTTACTATAAAAAGTAAACAAGTCTGTTCTTAAATAATGTATTTGATATTATTACATAAGTATTACTTAAAACTGCTCTATCATCCAAGTAAAAAGGTTGTACTTATTTAGAGGTCAGTGCAGATATGTTCCTGCAAGGATAAAAGCCAAGGTTCCAATTACCTCCAGTGAATTTTCAGACTGTGATGAAAGCAACAGTAAGTCTTCCAGAGAGAAAGATGTATCTGTCCCACTTAGATGTCTCTGTAGAAAAATAACGGAAGGTGCATCATTCTTCAGATAAATTAGAACACTGAATTGGTTTGCCTGGGGCTTTAGCCTTATTAATCTTTAAAGAATAACCAGGTCTTTCCTCCTTGCTGGATTTTTATACTTATTTTGTTCCTTAGTTGTTTTAAAATGCATACTTAAAGTCAAAAGCTAATCAGTATCTCTCTTTCCTTCCTAAACAGGGACCTTTAACTCCAAACTCCACCATTGCTGCCTTAACCAACTTCCATATAATAGTTGTGGTGGTTGTTGGCTGTCTGGTATGGGGATCAAAACCCTTGACCCTGGTGGCATAACACTATGTTCTAATCAACCATATAATTTTTGGCTAGTATTTTTAGTTGCACCTTATTTTGTCCCTCCATATCCAACCCTCCCAGTTGGCTACAAAATACAGGTAATTTTTACAGTCAATACTTTACATTTACCCAAATGTTTTACTAACTTACTCATCATTACTTCATCTCATCCCTGCCTTCAGAGGTTAGCTTTCTTGTTGAAATAACTCTTTTGATCTTTTTAGAGAGGATCTGAGTAGTAAACTTCAGTTTTTGTAACCTGAAATTATTATTTTGCCTTCGTCTTTAAATGATAGGTTAACTAGAGAAGTAATCAGGTTTACTGTTTTCCCTCAGTGCTGTCTTATGGTATTTATTAACTATTGATAAGTTTGTTATCAGTGTTATTTTTTTTTTACAGTGAATCTGTTTTTCCTCAGGTAATTTAAAAGATTTTTTTCTTAGTTTTTGATGTTCTGCTTTTTCACATTGATATGTCTGGGATTTAATTTTTCTTTTTAATACAAATCTTTCCATGAACTTATTTTTTTGGCAACTGGCTAGTACAGAGATCAAACTCTGGACCTTGGTGTTATCAGCACCATGTTCTAACCAACTGAGCTAAATTGCTAGTCCCTTAATTTGTTTTTATTTACTCTGGGACCCTGTGTACTCCTTTAATCTGAGGACTCATTTTAATTCTGGAAATATTTTGCCATAAACTCAAATACAAGGGTACTTTAAAAAGTTCATGGAAAGACTTATATTAACTTTTAATTCTATTTTCCACAAACTTTTTGAAGTACCCTCATATTGCTTCTCTTTCATATTTGCTACTCTCTCCTGGGACTTCTAAAATAATTTTGGTTTCCTCATTCTGTCATTGTCTCAATCTTTCTTTCATATTTTGCATTCTGTATGGTCTATTTTTGGTAATTTCCTTAGATCTCGCCTACAATTTACACTTTTCTTTAGTCATGTCCAATCTGCAATTCACCCCTTCCACTGAATTTTAATTAAAATGACTACATTTTTTTATATGTAGAATATAAATTCTTTTCTATATCCACTCTTTTTTCATGATAGTCTGTTGTCTCATACATTCTGTCCCCTTATCTTGAATAATTTTAATACCTTAAATTTAGAGTCTTTTTCAGAAAATTTGTGAATCCTGACTATATGTAGAATATAAATTCTTTTCTATATCCACTCTTTTTTCATGATAGTCTGTTGTCTCATACATTCTGTCCCCTCATCTTGAATAATTTTAATACCTTAAATTTAGAGTCTTTTTCAGAAAATTTGTGAATCCTGACATTTTTTGCATATGCTGACTCATGGCTGTTTATTTCTGCATGTCGTTTGTAATTTTTAAAAGGTAAGCTCATCTTTGTTGGGCGCTGTTTCTGTAGGAATCCTACACATCCAGGGTTACCAACTGTGAGGCAGTTTTGCATTTTTCTCTGCAAAGACCTGTATTTATATCATTTTCTATACCTTACTTTCTTGGCATAGGATTTCTGATTGTGATGGCAGAGTAGGTTCAGACACTATATCAAGCTTTTTGGGTCCTATTACGGTTCTGACTTATAAAAGGCAAAAAGAATTGTCCTAGTCCCTATTTCCTGGACACCAGAGCCCTTAATTGTGAAATCTGGTTCCAATTCCTCTTTGAGGCTCTTCAGTGCCTGATTATCTTACTCTGGATCTGAGCTGCTCCTATGTTTTTTCTCTCTCTAGAGTTCCCTCTCTTTGGAGTTCTGCTGTGCGTTTTAAAGTATGTTTTACCCAGGATTTGTTTTTGGTGTGTACATATCTTTACATGTGAGTTCATGATCCTAACTGAAGTACTCATGCTGTGCACCACTCCCACTCCTTTTTACTTTAGGGTTTTCTTTTCTGAAGATTCAGACCAGTTGGTCTGATTGTGTGTATGTGTGTATACACAAATAACTTTGTTTCCTTTCCTGCCAAATACCTTGGGTTCTATGATGCCATGTTTCAGGGCCCATAGTACATTAGATTTTCTGTATCTATTTCTATGGATGCTATAGAACTATTAACTTTAACCTAAATTGGTAAATAATATTTCTTCTTTGCTCCTCTTTGACTGGAAAATTGCACATTTTAGTGGACTTCTTTGCCAATTAGATTCCTGTTTTAATTGATTATTCATTTCTTAATTTGTAGAAGTGTTCTATTCTGTTAATGACCCCAAAGTCAGACTTGTTAGTCCTTGGCCAGCCATTGACCAAAATTTGCTGATGGTTACAAGAAAGAATGGATAACATCAGGACAGATTTTTGTGGATCCCTGTGAAAATCCTTATGGTAGGTAAATACCATTATTTGCAGAAAATATTTGGAACATAGAAGTATGGGAATGAGGATCAATTCTGCTTAAAGTGAATTAGGGGCTGGTCCTTCATTAGTTTTTGTGCTTGCTCCCTTCTCTAGTGCCCAGGAGATGGGGGGCTGAGGGGGCTAACCCCTACCAACCAGGCTCTGTAGCCCTCAGGTTGGGTGGTAGGGCCACAAGAGATAGGGAGAAGAGACAGAAGGTTGGGCTTCTGCTGAGTCTCACATCAATTCCAGCTCTCACTGAGATCTATTTTTCCCAAAATTCCCTTACATCCTAATGGTGTGGTAATGGCTTCATGTTGTTGCTAGTTCCTGGCCCGCCTACCCCCACATCCCTTGGTTTTTACCTTAAAAAAAACCAAAAAACAAAACCAAAAACCTTTTCACTTAATTCTCTTTAGAATCTCATCGGGATGTGCCTTCTACTTGAGGATTTTAACTGTGGAAAGCATTCTGTTTGAAGTCACTATGAAACAGTTTTTCTATCACACCTAAGAAATTATACAGAACACTTTTGAGATATTTGGTTTCATAAAACTTGGCCATTTCTAAATCTAATTGTTTATTTTTTTCTGTTCAGCTGGGTCCAGATCTTGCATGAGAATGGATAGCTCAGCCATTTAAAAAATTAATCCATAGGATTTATTCCATATTTTCTGTTCAGTTGATTGCCAGGAAATTAAGTCAGACTTTCATGATTCTCCTTTCTAATGTTCATATAAAATATGAACACAGTTCTATTTTAGTTCAAGAATTCATTGCATGTTGAACAGAGATCACCACTAGGAGTATTCAAAGAACATGGTGGACACACGTTTATAACAGATTATCTTTTAAAACATTTAACATTAATATAAGCTCAATTTCTATTTAGTGAGAGGCGAATGACTTCAGACCACTTAACCTGCATATACTGTGTACTTATTCATTAATAGACTGCAGGCTAAGTTCAGGCCTGCAGTGGGGCTAGAAAAAAGTCATTGTTAATGAGTAAATTATGTCAATCATCTCAGGAATTCTTCCAGGATTGTCACCTGAAAAAATGGAATTGTCAGTGACTCACTCATCTGAGAGCTCATTTCTGTTTTCTTTATTTCAACATACTGTGAAAGCATCCACTAAGTAACATCTCAATGAAAGGGAGAAGAACATATTGTTGGAGCTACTATAAGAAATGTATAATCTGCAGTACATAAAAATGGATATAAGTGCTAACTAAACAAAACTGATACAGGCTAGGAACAAGGAGGTGAACAAGGAGATACACAATGAGGAGCCAAGCCTGATAAGAACTAAGGCACAAATGCCTTGTTTTGAGTGATTAATGTGTTTCTGAAAAGTTTTGTACAGATTGATTTTGTCCTGTACCAAATTATATTTTAAGTTCTCTCCAAGGAAGCTCCGTACTTCATCTGTCTCCTCATTAATATTTAACCAGTGCCTACTATTTGTCTAGCAGTGAATTTGTTCTACAGGTAAGTCAAAGAAGTAGAGAAAGCAGTTCTTGCTTTTCTGGGAAGCCCAGTGAGGTGCTAAATACTTCTGCATTTTAAAGTGAAATGCTAGGGCCGGCCCGGTGGCGCACTGGATAGTGCGCCGCTTGCGAAGCACGGTGGCGCTCCCGCCCGAGGGTTCGGATTCCACATGCGGACCGGTTCCCGCTCACTGGCTGAGCGAGGCGCGGGAGCAACACCGAGGGTTGCAATCCCGTTGCCGGTCCCCGGTCTGGTACGGGGGCAACACTGAGGGTTGCGATCCATTGCCGGACACGGAAAAAGACAAAAAAAAAAAAAAATCTTCAATTTCATCATGCTATCTCAATTATACTGTACAGATGTGGAAAATGTCAATTCAGTTTTTAAAATAATGTTTAAGCATTTTTATAAACAAGACTATTATTGCTGACCTAGATAGAGATATGTCAAGCAACATCTATATGATTTTAAAGTAATTTTTTTGTTTCTTAAAATATCCTGCTGCTTCTGGGTAATGTTCCTGTCTTGTCACGCAAGTATAACATGTGCTGCACACTCTTCAAATTGCAGATGTGCAGCGTACATCAGATTGCCACTTGCAGAGCCCAGCCTAATTCTATTGCATCTTCAAGAGAAATAGTTCAAATCAATTTCAGCATGAATTTAGACGATCTCTTGTAGACATGGTCATGAAAAATAAATAAATAAATAAATAAAAAATAAAGTGAAATGCTAGGCAGCAATTGAGGGTTATAAAAGGATTGAAGCCGGAGAAGCTAGGGAGTCAAAATGGAAAGGTTCCTGGGGGTGAACTCTCTACCCCTCCCTCTCACCTGAATGGCAAAAAGGGCTTCAAGGAAACCACTTAGAACTTGGGCCGGCCCGGTGGTGCACTGCTACAGTGCACCGCTTGGGAAGCGTGGCGGCGCTCCCGCCGAGGGTTCGGATCCCACATGCAGACCAGCCGCTCACTGGCTGAGCGAGGGGCGGGGGCAACACCGAGGGTTGCGATCCTGTTGCCAGTCCCGGTCCGGTCCGGGCGCGGCACTGAGGGTTGCGATCCGTTGCCGGTCACAAAAAAAGACAAAAAGACAAAAAAAAAAAAAAAAAAAAAAAAAAAAAAAATTGCTTGGTGTGTGTTCCCTGCAGTTTGGGGACACAGCAGCTTAGTGTCCTGGCTCTTGCCTGAGGAATATAAAGGAAAAGAGGCCAAGCAGGGGATGTAGTGACAAAGGGTGACTAACAAAGGGTTTAAAGAGGTGTTTCCAGGGCCACTGCCAGATAGCAACTGGTTGAGAGGGCCACTGAAGAGGTGAAGTGTATGCCACCGAATATTCAGGAGCAAATCCTAAAGGACCAGCTAGAGGGGGAGACCATGAAGGCAGGGGTCTCCAAAAAACTTATGAAAGGAAAAGTAGTGCCCATCTGACAAAGAATTTTAAATGTATCCTACAGTCAAGGGAAATAACGTCACGTTGGTGCCAGTCAAGTAACACCTTTCCTGAGTTCTTATGACCCTACACACCCAGGCCCAGAGAAAGCAGCCTAACTAGCAGGAGAGGATGAACTGGGGAAATAAAGGAGCAGGCCATGCACACACTTTTCCACTTCAGCCAAGCCTTGTGGCTGCAGCAGATAAGATAAAAGGAAGGGATTTTAGTTCAGAGGTTTAGAGAATTACACTGGATTGCAAAGGTACTTCAAAAAGTTCGTGGAAAAAGTTAAAAGATAATATAAATCTTTCTATGAACTTTTTGAAGTACCCTCCTATTACTAATTGCTGCACTGGAACGACCAGAGGGATTTTTTACCTGACTGTCTAGAAGTCATGGGGCCTGCCCTAGATTTCACCCAAGGTGTAGGGAAGAACTAGTTCCCCTAGAACAGGTTAGAACAGGCTAGAGGGAGTAGGGGAGTGGTGGGTAGGCAAAGAACAAAACTGTTTTCTGATTTCACTCTATAAAATCGAGTAATTTTGACAAAGTTACACCATCAAGGCTACAGTGATGACAGGCTGTCTGAGAAGGGCCAAGGCCTGGTTCTCCCATCCTCCAAGGATGTTCAAGGCACAGTCCCAAACCCCACCTCCTGGGGAGGGGACATGCTGAAGCAGGTCCTGAGAGACCCATCAGGGCAATACCTGCAAGGGTGTGCCTTTCAACAGGAAGGACCATGTGATTAAAGGTCTGTGGAACCTCCAGGCCTGCCTCTGGAGCACCTGTTTGCCAGGCTTGTGGGCAGGACCTCAGCGGGGTTCAGCAGAAACCAGAGTACAGCCCAAGTGAAAGAAGGGGGAAACACAGGCTGCAGGAAGAATCCATCTCTTCAGCCTGGCTCCGGGAGTTCATCTTTCTACACATCTTCTCATGGCTGAAGCATGTGATTAGACAATGAGGAGCCCAGGAGGTAGTCCTGCTGCGCCTTGCCCTTACTCTACACCAGAGGCACAAAATAGTATTCTGAATGCCCAGTGGTTCAGTTTGGCCCACCAGGAGACAATAAGAATTTGAACCCACGCCTTAGCTGGAAATGAGGGTGATTTGCTTGTAGGGTTGGTCCTCTGGCTTGCTCTTCCAGACCTGGACGGCCTGGCTCCTTCAAGTGGTGGGTTGAGGATTTCTGGATTCAGAATGCCAGCTATCTCTTTATCACTTGCCTTGGCAATGATGACTAGCAAAACCTGCTAGCAGGTTCGTGGAGGGGTGTATGTGTATGCACACATGAAGTATGGAGTTTAACCAGAGAAAATTCTATGGGCTGATTCCTTCATAAATCAAATTACTACCGCAATTTAAAAAATATGTATTTTCATATGTCAGACTTGCTAATAGTAAAGCACACTTAATGCAAAATTCATTCTTAACACAAACTGTCAATGCCACAAAATCTACATCAAAGACAAAATGGAAAGGCTGGAATATTCTGACATGCTTACCTCATTTCTAGACTCAGTGGGTTTTTCTGCCTCCCAGTCAGGTTTCTCTGCTATTTTGTTTTCACCTTCCTTATTTTGCTGTAGTGATTTCTCCTTCTGGGCTGACACCCTTTCCTCATTTTCCTCATGCTGGGAACTGTGATCCAGAGCTTCATGCTTGTTATCTCTTTGTACCTCATTCTCCTATAAAAGTACCAAAAAATATGCTTAGTAGAAATCCATATTTCTTCAAATAAGCAAACAGTTTTTAAAACTGTTAAAAGTTCCTGTTTCATGATCATGAAAACCCAGAAGTCAAAAGCTAAGACTGGCATTTCATTATTTCAGTATCAAAGAAACGTTTCATTCTGAAATAACAGCCAGTTTTATGTCCTGTCCTTCTTAAGTACTCTGAGACAGACTGTTCTAATCTTCATAATTTAAATTACATGCATTTATAAAACCACCGAATTAAAAATATTTGCAAATTAGATTAGATTTGGGAATCAATGTTGCCAGCAGGCAGTTTTTATTTAGTTCTCTGTTGAAAATAGATCAAACAGCTAAGTTGGAAGCAAACAGTGATTATAGAAAAATCTGAAAAGTATTATTACAAACTATTAATTGTGGTTCTCTCTGGAAGGCAGGATAGGTTGGGGGCAGGGTGGGAAAGAAGGTGACTTCACTTTATAGACTTGTAACTGTTAAAATCAGGAAAACAAATATATTTTTATTTTGAAAAGGTTGACACCAAAGCTTCATCTAACATCTCAATAGATATTTTCAACTATGCTTATTTATCCAGATAAATCCTTCCACCTTTTAATTTACTTTAACTAAAAAGACTGAAATAAAAGGCTAGAGAATTCTCAACATTCTAATAGTTACCATTTGGCATGTACTGTATGTATGAGTACCGATACTTTCAATTATGATGCATATATACACACATACTTTTTTTTTTGTAAATGACTGGCCAGTAAGAGGGTCCAAACCCTTGACTTGGGTTTTATCAACACCATTTTCTTTTTTTTTTTTCCGGTTGGTAAGGGGATCGCAACCCTTGGCACGGTGTGGTCTGCACCATGCTCAGCCAGTGAGCGGACCGGCCATCCCTATGTAGGATCTGAACCCATGGCCTCGGCGCTCCCAGCGCTGCACTCACCTGAGTGAGCCACGGGGCCAGCCCATCAACACCATTTTCTAACTAACTGAGCTAACCGGCCAGTGCTCAATTATGATATTAAAAGTTCTCTCTGTATAATTTTCCCCCCTCTAACATCAAGGCTTCTCAAATTCTTTCAAAGGATCTATTTTTAATTTCTGACTTCCAGGAACATGGCACTAGACTAACTCAAAGACAGCACCATCTTTCCCACCAAACCACAGGAATGTTAATCTTTTTTTTTTTTTTTTTTTTTTTTTTTTTTTTTTCTTTCTTCATTGGCTTAATTTTTTTT